TGCGCGAGCGCACGTACAGCCCCGCAACCCGCGCTCCTATCCGCAGACGTCATTCATTGCGATCGTCCGCAGTGATCGCTCGCTACCATCGAGTAGAAATGTTGTCATTATCAACTTGCACTCACCGTGAATACAATAATCATTTATGAAAATGTATACATTTTCAGTTTCATTATATATAATGTATTCACGTATTATACTCCTATTACCAGTAGGTACTTACATATTTAAATACCACACTAGAAGTTGTTCAATAATATATTGGCGGAGAAACATTAAAAATAATAGATAAAATGTGTTCAATTAGTGACAAGCTGAAAGATAAAAGACCCCGCAAGTTGATAATAACGCAACGAGCGTAAAAGTCGTGCGCGTTGCATCCACGATAACCTCGAGTGACCTTGCGACGTTTCCGCACTTTCCGTTCTCCATGCGTTTATTTGTTGTCGCCGCGCTCCGTTCGTTCTACATTCGTATGCACTGAGCGTTGATCAATCGCTCGTGACCTTTCTTGACTTAATCAGTTGTTTTCTCACTAAACAAATAATCCCTCGTGACCGTCCATCGCGTTACAATTCAGGACTTTATACCTACTTAAATCTATCCTTCACGGTACAAACTGTACTGCGTGGAGTATTGGCATCGTAAATCGCGCCCACGGTCTTGTAGGTGTTAAAATAGAGGCGCCCTGTGCGGCCCACCACGCTCGATCCATTCCACTTGCTTTATGATAATCCCTAATATCCGGCACAGGCATGAACATCGGGACACGACTGTTTGGTGGCTATGTTTAGCGTGGACGATTACGAGAGGTCGAACGACCCTGACTTGATACCAAAATACGAATGTTGAACTTCATATTTACATTTGCGGGGGCAATCACCCGAACTTGATCATTCTATTTAGTATCACTTTTATATCATTAAGTATATAAAATATTTATTATTGCTTGTTAAAAAATGTAACTATTAGTTTATTTTGTAGCTAGATAGTAATTATTAACTAATTTTATACTGATATATGGTTAATAAAGATGAAGGATCCGAAACCACATTACTAACATAGCTCAAATATATTAGTGAATGCTATATAAACAAAAATGAATATAAACTCTAATAGGAATGAAAAGAAATCGTAACTAAATAGTCGTAGTATATTGATCAAACACCTGTTTTAATGATTTGTTCTACCTAATCAATGAAACACCTTTTGCATATTGAATATACACGTACGATAAAATGCACAGTTATTTTTACAAAATTATCATCAAAATCAATTTTTACTAAATTATTTATATGAATCAATTAAATATATAATCATTCACGTTATTTATACCTTTCTAAAAACCAATCATTTATGCATAACAAGATGCCAATTTTAAATAAAAAGTCTTGGCTCATGTCGGATTCCTCATTTTGAATATATAATTTTAAACCTTTAACCAATCCATATCAACTCTTTTACGTCCCAAAGCTGGACAAGTGTACCATTCTATAAGAGGAGGATGTTAGTGTTAATCTTTAGAAGAATCTCATTTACATACAAAGTGTTACTCTTCTAAATGATGAAGCGGCGATTACAAATCACAAGTTACAACGATAAACATTATTACCTGTTACATAATTACACAAAATTTTTATATTCTGTATTGAGTATAATATAATTTTTGTATATTTTATTATTGGACCTACCTTGAATAAAGAAAGTTAAGTACAATAATATTCTTTGATCTAAAATGTTATAACATACTGAGATGATATAAAGTATCACAGTATAATCAAATCCTTCTCATGGAAAAAAATCCTAATTGATTTCTCCGTGTATTTGTTTATTTTTTACACTTCTTTATTTGTCTAAACCATTTCAAGCGCAATACACATATTTCTTTTTGACTATTATTTTTCTTTTATTGTATCAATTGCTTGATTAATTAATTGAATAATAATATCACACAATTTGTTACATTTTTACAGCACAAATTCAGTTGCTTTAAATATTATATGTAGTTATAAACTTTTTATATGGATGCAAAAAACCATCGTCATCGGTTACTTCTCAGATAACATGAAAATTAATGGTACCGTACTTCAAAGCGGTTTTTAACCGACTTAAAAAACGGGAGAAGGCTGACCCCGCAAACGTTGTTCTGCCATATAATTTTTTCCCGGGATAAGGGCATCCTAATCACCTAGCAGTTTAAAATATACTTTACGATCTATTCCTATACCTACCAAATATACATAAAAAAATGTATAAAAATCTGTCAAGCCATTTTGGAGGTGTGCGACCATAAATACCGTGACACGACATTTTGAGATAATACAATTACATATAATATAATATATATACATATTTTTTCAGGGTTGGCAAAAATAGTGTATAAGTATTTTTTAATACTAATATTACTGTTGATTATTAGGCTCAAAGCAATTAATGAAAATGTAATAAACACAATTTATTGTATTTACGTATTATTTATTTTTAGACATAAACAATGATAATATACAATTATCATTTGTGTCACTACAATATATTTCCATAAATTAAATTGTAAACCACAAAATACTCCATTAAACTAAAATATGTGTATTTAAGATAAGGGTACGACAAACAGCTGCCGACGCTATTTCACAGTGGATGGAAGGATGTTGCACCGTTTTCCAAGTAAAATATATATAGATTTCTACTTATTTTGAAATGTATAGGAAAATTGTTGTTTGTACTATCATACTATAACATATCAGTCATTAATTATCCACTGCTGAACATAGACCTCCTCCATAATTAGGGAGGGTTTTGCCAATAGTTGCCACGCTTGGCAAGCGGGTTGGCAACCGCAGTTAGGCCTTTGACTTTTGTACTATTATGATGTGTAATAAATATTTTGTTTCCTACATTATTGAAAGAATATATATATTACAAAGTTACAATTATAATAATCGACTTTAGAATTAAGTATAATTAAAAATTAACGTATTTCGATAACATGACGCAACATTCTTAAAATGTGTTTAATTTTGTTTCTATTTTTTACTAACACTTGACAGCTAATTTAGCGCAAAAAATTTAACAAGCCGGTTCGTATAAATCAGTGGTCGGGTGTTAATTGGAACGATTTCCCTTCCCGTGCTTTGATAACGTGCCATCTTGCAGTGCACTGTTGTGAACCAAATTAAAAAAAAAGCTATTTAAATCTTCCACAATAAATTTTACTTTCATTTTAGCTTTTGTGATTTTTATCCATGTTATTTTATCCATAGAAGAATACAGGAGTTATTAATATAACTGTACTACTGTGATTGCTTTGTCATCAATTTTTATCAATCATAATACAATTTTATGACAATATCAACGATACTTAGAGCATTTCAGAATAATGTTTTCTTCTGATGTATATATATATACATCATATTTAAAAATTAATATATGTATTTCTATATATATAGGTATTTCTATAATTAGTTTCTATATAATTTAACAAAATAGTCTACTTACCCAACAACAATAGTCTACAAAATCCAATATAAAAAAATAAAGTGCAAATAAAAATTCGTTTAATTGATGTTTCGCGATTTAATACTGATTTCGGTTAAAAATGTTTCTATGATAATATCGACATAACTTGATCACCTTTTCAATAAGTTCTATTGAAATAGAATAGTCATTCATAACTGGAGCTAGAATAATCATGAATGTTCGTCATACTATGTACTCTGTTTCATTGTTATGTATATTAGTATCATCTCTATAAGGTTAAATCACAGCCCGAAATCCAAATTAACTTAATTATTAAATATACAACAACAGCGCATAAGCATTGTGAAACTTTATGAAATCATTTTAGTGATATTATAATTAAGTGACACGCTGTATGGCGCCGCCGCGCCGCTGTGTGGAGGCGCGGGCGGACGGCGACGGGACCGTCAGAGTACTTCGCGATAAATCACTAGCGGGATGTGTTAACTGCCAGCCTGCCACGCTGCCAGTCCCAACAAATGTGTCGACACTCACCAATAAACCATGCGTGCTGATGGGGTGCCATCGCCGATTTTAGACACGTTTTTGGAACGCTAACTAATGAGCTCTGAATAGTGCCGAATCAGTATGCACAACATTACGATTCGTATGCTACCTGAAACCTTATAACTTCGACATATGAGTTAATTTTGATTAGACATTACCAAATTACAATAGTTACCTGCATTAGATTTAGGGGACACGTTCGATCGCTATTGGTGCCTACATAAAGTACACACATAATGAATTTTAAAGCAACTGAAATGTTACAAAAACAATAATAATAGTATAATCAGAGTCTTAACTTTTTTACTAGATTGTATTTTACTTGCATTACTTAAGTGTATCTAGGGTACATTTATTAATTCTATATTTTCAGAAACCTTAAGGAATTTCTTATAAAGTTTCATAAACTAATACTATTTTATTATTGATAATAACCTATATTTATATATTATACATTTGCCGCAAAATAAATATTCACATCAATAAAGATACCGGTGGTGTTCTTTTCTGTAATAAATATCAGTTTCGTACTAATTTGTTTATACGAATATGTAAATGATAAAATATAATGAGATAAAATAATCGTACATAATGTAATAGATAAGAATAGTTAAACTGTTATTGATATTTGAATACACAGTTTATTATAAATTTGCGTGGTTAATGTTTCTGGCGATGACGGTTAAATTAAAGTTTACTAACTAGAGCAATTCATCAAACGCAACCCCTGTCGTTTATAATAAAAAACAAACTCGCTCTTAATTGTATTATAATTCGAAAATGTTCTTTTGCCTGCTGTTTTGTTTATATGTTCGAGAAGTATTTAGCGAAGAATGGCGCGGGCGTTATTAACGGTCATGTCATATAAGTTACGGATATATTTATTGGAAATAAAGTGTGTATATAATTCATAGGTATGTAATAAAAAAAAGGGTAAAATAATAAAATTATTTATAATTATTATTATTTGTCACCAGAGGGCGGCAGACTAGAAGCTGAACTGAAATACACAGCACAAGCGCTTGGCGAAGCAGACTCATCGACACATCAGTTGATTATACAAACAGCCAAGGATCCAGACGTCTCATTGTTGCACGCGGGAGCTTTGCTTGACCACCTAAAGGTACTTGATTTCTTACAACCCCTCAAGATACTTCTTTGAAGATTACACAGTATTCAAACAATAAAAACCCCGGAAGATGTGTCCGTTTGAATCCTTTATAAGTAATTGAATCTTCCGATTGAAGTTGCTATTGTTATGTTTGTACTTGACGCCATATATTACGCTCACTTGTGAGTAAAAAATGCATTATGGCACCTTTGAGTTATGGCACAGTAGTGAGTTAATATATCTCACGTAATAGTGAGATATATTAACTCACTACTGTGCGATAATGCAACTTACTACCGTGCATTAGTGGAACTCACTATTATTAATTTTATTAGTTATTAATGACTGTTTCAACTGTATAACTGTAAATTTATATATTTATATTTTATTATTAGAATTAATTTTTTATATTAAAATAATAATAAAATTTTCATATATTTAACTGTTTTATCAAAGTATGTCTAACATCTAAATATATAAACAAAGTCTATGCTGTATCAAAATAAAATTAATAAATTTTATTATAAGACACTTAGACAGAGTTTTGTTAAACACTCTTTAGGTAAGCAGTGTTTTAAATATTTTTTGTATTAAAATTTCTTTTTGCATTGCACAGGTTGTGAAGAAAGCAATAGGCATCACGGTGCATATGTACGATTTGGAGTGGAGGCTCAAAGATCTCTGCTACAGTCCAAGCATACCCGACTTCGAAGCTTATCACATTGAGAAGATCTTCGACAACATTATACCTTGTGCCATTATCACACCACTTGATTGTTTTTGGGAAGGCTCCAAATTGCTTGGACCCGAATACCCTATTTTTGTTCCGTATGTATTTCTTTTTATTCAATTATGTTTATTTTACAAATATTTCATATTAAAATATGAAAATCATATTGTAATAATTCATTATAATTTTTTTTTTAAATTTCTACACCATGTTAGGACCAGTGCGGAGCAGAAAGAGCGGGTTCAAATCCTGCCCATTTTTAAATCTTTCGAGAACAAAATAAATATTGAAATACTATTTTTATATTTGAGTAATATGTATTTGTATATTTGCAATTAGTAAATTGTCAATAGGGCAGCAGTGTCCTTCTTTAAACATTATCAAATCCTGTGGTTAACCCGCTTGCTAAGCGTGGCAAGTACAGGCAAAACCCGCCCTTATGGGAGGGGCATATGCTCAGCAGTGAACAGTTAACGGCTGATATGATGATGAAACTAGCTGTAACACAAAGTAGCTGATACAATCACAGTTAAAACTACATATGCAAAAAGACAATACACCAGTCAATCATCAAAAATATATAACAATTTAAATAAAGAACTCGATATATATTCACTCAATTATCATAAATGTAAAAAGACTCTAGTTACTTGGCTTAAAGCCAAAAGTTACGATGAAATAGAAAATATAGTCTGGAATTAAAAAATAACTATATAAATAATAAATAAAAAGTACAAAAGAAAAAATAATAATAAAGAACACAAACTATATTATTATATATATCTATACCATACACACAAATTCACACATACACACACACACACACAGAAGCACGCACACACACACGACGCACGCACGCACGCACACACGCACGCACGCACACACGCACGCACGCACACACACGCACGCACACACACGCTCGCACACACACATATACACAAGAACAAGTACATACACAACCGCATTTATTATTATAAATAGACATTTTTTTCTTTTTTTATGATATGTAAATTTTTTAGTATTATTGTATAAAAGTAAAACAAAGTAAAATTTTTTATGCTGATTAAGAAAAAAAGAAAAGTAAATTGTAATGATTATGAAATTTAATTATTGTTGTGAAGGAGCGGTTTCTCCTAACACAACCAATTTTTGCTTAACAGGAGATACCAAACCCTGTAATGTAACTAACTACCTTTGTATAAAGAAATAAATTTATTTATTATTATTATTATTATTTATTAAACTGCCAATAATAAATAAATGTTTGTTTATTTGACGTATACTTACGTATACAAGGACTAGATGGCGTCGTGTAATATATTCAAGGTCATTTATTTTGTTTATTTATTTACAGTGGTTTAGAAAAAAATAAGTTCCAATGGACGCATTTGAATCCTCAAGAGGTTGTAGAGGAGGTGAGGAAGTTGAAGTTCCAGTTTCCACTGAGTACAATGGAGGCTTACATGAAGCGAGCTGGCATCACCTCCGCATACATGAAGAAGCCATGCTTGAACCCGAAAGATCGCGATTGTCCTGTTTCCGCCCCCAACAAGAAATCAGGCCAGGTAACATATTTATTTATTCTTTATTGCACCACTTAAAGAATAATACAAAATAGTATATATTACACATATGAAGTATAAAAGACGGTCTTATCGCTTAAGCAATCTCTTCCAGACAACCTTTGGGTTGAGGAAAAAAGAAAGAGGCGGTAGTTATTTGGCGCAATAAATATATCTAATACTACTCAAACTACTCCTATTAAAAAAAAAAACTTCGTCCAAACATTCATTCATTCATCATTAATTTATTTAGTACACAATACAAATATGCAAAAACAAAAAAGAAAAACATTCGAATACATACTTGTATACCAATTGACAAAGTACACAATATTTACGTATAAGCTTTCTTACATGTTAAAAAATGGTCCTACTCCCGGATAAAATGTTAATATAATACGAGATACATTTATTAAAAATTGTAATAACCTAAAAAACTTATTAAGATCATTCTAATACACTATATTCGCTGTTGCTATGCGAGTACATATGAGTTGCTGAGGAGTTGGACATCCTGCAAACTACTTGAAGCTGCAGCGTCAGCTCAAGGTTACTATGTCATGGAAATACCATGGAAGTAACTGTACACCCAATTTTAAATGAATGAACCTTGTAGAAGTTAGTCCTTCAGTCAAGTAGAAAATGAGCTGATAATCATCAAACTTCTAATCATATCTTCATAAATTATAGCTAAGAACTATTATGATCACATCGGCTTTCAAACAAAACGATCCGCATCTCTATTGGTTTATCCGTTTAGAAGCTATAATGTACAAACAGGCAGACACATAGATACACAGATAAACGTATTTAAACTTGTAACCGTCCTCTTATTGTGTCGGGAGTTAAAAATAAATCATTTATGTCAGTATACTATAAAATGTAGAAAGTATGTAGTTTAAGTTTCTCAACCTTTGACTGAGTCGCGCTGTTTCTCATAATATCGGATTTAATAATTGTTACCTACCGACATTGGCCCCCGGTTCAAAAACTCAACTTATCAGTTGTTATATACCTAAATAATAATTACAACAAATTACAGTAGGTACTAAGTAATCGTAAGACTCGACACAGCTCTAGGTATTCTCTAACCAATTAGTATTCTGTAACTAATTAGTCACAAACAAACGAAATAATCTGTATAATAATATGTTTTTATAATAACATTTATATTATGTCTGCTTGCTCTTTTGTATATATATATATTTTTTTTATAGTCGTTAGAGTATTATTCCATTTTATGCCAGTGAGAGTGAGCCACGTATGAAATCATTTGTTATGGTTGCGTGAGACCCACATTAGGGACCATTACGACGACTCCCGCTCCTTTTATGAAGACTTCAATTTACGACAGTTTTACTAGCACATAAATAAAGCGTGTAAAATCACGACAAATAAAATAACTTTATCGAGGCAAAGGCATAAAGTTTAAATACTTTCCATAATAATAAAATATTTTTGGAGACTACTACGAGGCAGGCAGGATGAAAGCGGTCGCCGGCGGGCAGATGGTACGGCTACCTGCCGTCACATCGCTCGTTGGCATGTGTGCGAGAAAGTTATCATACTGAATACGTCCAACTTCGGTATTGGAACGTTATTTACTCGATGAATAAAAAGTTTATATTAGGGCTTTTGATTTTTAGAACGTTGAAGTAAACATGAAAAAAGATTAGCTATTTGCGTCGAAAGTTACAATTTATTCGTATTATTTCCAACAAATAAAACATTGGAAACGTACTCAGATGTGGCTTGTCTTTATGTACGCAAGCATAGGTAGACTGGGCCCGCGCCACCCACGTTCGGCGAGGAGCCGCGCCGCAGATCGGACGCGCATTGTTCGCCGCGCCCGCGTGGCCGGACCGCTGCATTATACGGGCGCATTGTACACTTTTCAATGGGCCTCGTTTGCCGCTGCTATCGCCCATCACAATGACACTATTATATCAATAATGCTTGCCACCCGATACTGGCGGAGTTACTCGGAAACCTCGTAAATTTTGTGTCCCATTTCATTGTTCCTTAAATAATGTTGTCAAGTGCAGGTGATGTAATGATTATCAAAGCGGCATTCTCTTATTATGTGACACAAAATACAGGTTCTGAGAAGGTGAGGTTCGTTCACTGTTGACGTTTCAAACACAATAAATGCCGCACAATCACATTAGTTGTTAAATCATCATGAGAAACCCGGAAAATGAGCATATGGAACAATACTCCCAGATTTTCATTGACTGGATATCCAATACATATCATATATAGTACTTAGTATAAGCGAACACTTCCTCGATTTCGGCTATTCTAGTCGGCCAATTTAGAAAACCTACATAGAAAAGCCAAATCTATTTATTTTGGTAAGCAATGATATATATAGGCCTAATGGATACATAAAATATTGGATATCCAATATATAATATCAAAACGAAGAACACCATCGGAATTAATAAATATACCAGATTGGTATGGGTGATACCCAAATAGGCATGACCTTTTTCTGTCATCAGTCGTCAGAAAAAAATCGATATATAGATACTAATATCTATATATCGACATCAGCGATACTGTAATTATTTACTGTTATTAAGAATTATTTTTGTCATATTAATAATGAAATACTATGACCTTTTCAGACTCCAGATATAGCAGCGGAGCTGTCGCACGGTTGTTACGGTTTCGCAGCAGCTTATATGCACTGGCCACAACAGCTGATCGTTGGCGGTGTCACCAGGAACAACACCTCGGCGCTGAGGAGCGCCCGCGCATTGCAGAGCGTGGTGCAGCTGATGGGCGCCAGAGAGATGTTCGAATACTGGGCCGACAATTACAAAGTTCACCATGTCGGATGGACGCAAGACAAGGCCGCCGCCATTCTCGATGCTTGGCAAAGGAAATTTGCATCTGTAAGTGATCATGTTACTACTTATGTATATCATAATTGTTTATTTCTATTTAATCACCTCCCATCATATTATACTTACTAAAAAATTGACTGATTTAATTTATTTTATCTTATTTGATAAATTTAAGTAGATACACGCCAAATAGCTGTATTAATTTTGATCAAAATATGAATACAATTGATTTTTTCATTTAACACTTCCTCATTTAAGAATATCGTATTTCCACAGGAGGTTCGACAAATGACAGCAGCAGAAGAAGTCTCTTCCTCATACAGTTTCTATCCATTCTCAACGTCCACATTAAACGATATTCTAGGCAAATTTTCTGAATTGTCACTGAAGAACATTATCATCGGCTATATGTTTATGGTGAGTGTATATTTTTTAATTTTTTTTTTATAATAGTTTCGTTTTTTTTTTGTTTTTATATATTTTCGTTGTTGTTAATTTTCAGTTAATTTATGTTGCGGTAACTCTGATGCAATGGCGTGATCCTGTTCGCTCGCAAGCCGGAGTCGGTATCGCCGGTGTTTTACTTCTCTCCATTACTGTCGCTGCAGGCTTAGGCTTTTGCGCTTTATTAGGTGATTATTTCTTATTTTTTTTTTTTATTTCTTGACGAATATATACAGAAATTTATTTATATTTAAAATATACATTTTATAACATTAATATTTTTAATTTCAGGGATTCCATTCAACGCTTCGAGTACACAAATCGTGCCTTTCTTAGCTTTGGGGTTAGGGGTCCAGGACATGTTCCTCCTTACACACACGTACGTGGAACAATCTGGTGACGTCCCCAGAGAAGAGAGGACAGGACTGGTGTTGAAGAAAAGCGGACTTAACGTACTGCTGGCTTCACTGTGCAATGTCATGGCGTTTTTGGCAGCAGCGCTCCTGCCTATTCCTGCACTACGAGTTTTTAGCTTACAGGTAAAAGATTTTTTACTAAATCCTCGATGTTAACAATCAATAGTTACTAGGATAGGATATAAGAGATAGGAGTCTTAAGGATATAGGATATTATTTTTTTATAGGATTATATTTTTTTTTAATTATATTTTAGATATATAAAAACTGAAATGATAATACGACTATGACTATGTGATACATATGACTTTCGTACAATATTTCCTCTGGAAAAAACTGGTTTTCTATAGTTCAGACTTACCAGAGGGAGACTTTGTACAAAGGTCGATTGCTTGGGTACCTCTGTCCCATTCGTGTTTCTGCCGTGAAGCAGTTGTGTTTGCATGGCTGTGTTTCGGTTTGAAGGGTGGGATATGGCGTGAATTTACTGGGTACAGAGGAATAACACCTGAGTCCTCAGGAATGGCAACACATGGGGGGTATCATGGGCGAAACAGTATACTCTGTTATGTCCATAGTACTGCTCATGTCTATAGGCGACGGTTACCACTTTTCATCAGGTGGACCGTCAACTTGTTTGCCATTCTATGTTGTATAAAAAAAAAACTTGACTATAATTATGTTACGTATATGTCTTTAATATAAGTTACTTGTTAACCCGATTAATATATGTATATGGGAGAATATATTGATCAACGCAGTTAAAAAATGATCTAAACGCTAAGCAACGCTATCTCAAAAACTACATAATGAGATTGTAAAATTCCATAACGCTTGATTTAATTGTCAAGACCCAAACGCAACAGAAAAAAAACGTACTTAATTCCACATGTATATATGTACTAAGGATTACAATAATATTATTTCAGGCCGCAATACTTCTACTTTTCAACCTGGGCTCGATGCTATTGGTGTTTCCCGCTATGATCTCGTTGGATCTTCGAAGAAGATCGGCGGCGAGAGCCGACATGTTATTTTGTTTCATGCCAGAGAATCCGTTGCCCAAGAGGCCAAAAAACGTTCCAGATCGGTCGACTAGAGGCAGCAGATCAAATAAGGTAGTAATTTATTTATTTGTTATTTAAAAAAATATGATGGTACATAAGGCAGAGTTAACATACGTATTATATACAATTCTTCTTTATTAGAGCTGCGTAAATTTGTTTTAACAGAGGATACCGCAATATAATTCGTATGCTATCTAATCTGATGCTCCTGTTGATATTAGCATATTCTTCTTTTAAAATAAGTTATTTTGATTAATAATTATTTAGATATTTATTGATTTATTACATTACTGTCATATAAATTCATACTACATGATCAGATATAAAACAAATTGACACATACGTACCTTTTAGGCATTGTAATGGGAGCGAGAGAGATAGATATCCTATTAGAGCAAAGGACAAGACTAGAGGTTCTTATCACTGAAAAACTCTTATGCATAGAAGCTTTTTCAATAATCCAACAAATTAGCCAACTTATATGTTATAATTTATTGCAGAGCACTTGGAAGGATTCAACTAAACAACCATTGGATCCTGGTGTATCGACGGACGAACCCAAAAAAGGGTGCTGTTTGAGTTTGTCGCTTACAAAGTGGGCGAAAAATCATTACGCGCCTTTTATTATGCGTCCTGCTGTTAAGGTAACTAATTAATAGCAATATGGAATTTTTAAATATTACCATTACAGTTAATATACAATTTCTGTACTATAAAATTACAATAAAAATAAAATGATCGTTCAATATATAATAATATTTACATTTTTTTTGTAGGTTACGTCAGTACTAGCTTTGATCATAGTAATTTTAGCCAGTATTTGGGGTGCGACCAAAGTTAAAGACGGTCTGGATCTTACGGATATAGTGCCGGAAAACACTGATGAACACGAATTCTTATCGCGCCAGGAAAAATATTTTGGTTTCTATAACATGTACGCCGTCACTCAAGGAGACTTCGAATATCCCACCAAACAGAAACTGCTCTACGAATACCACGATCAATTTGTAAGAATACCAAATATCATTAAAAATGACAATGGAGGCCTTACAAAGTTCTGGCTTAGCCTATTCCGGGATTGGTTACTCGATTTGCAAGCAGCGTACGATAAAGAGGTTGAAAGTGGGTGCATAACAAAAGAATATTGGTGCAAAAATGCTAGCGACGAGGGCATATTGGCTTACAAACTAATGGTGCAGACGGGACACGTGGACAGCCCTATTGACAAGTCACTTATTACTACAGACACGAAAGATGGCCACAGATTGGTCGATAAAGACGGTATTATAAATCCAAAGGCATTTTACAACTACCTATCAGCTTGGGCTACAAATGACCCTCTGGCGTATGGAGCTTCACAAGGAAACTTGAAACCTCAACCGAAAAGATGGACTCATTCGCCAGAAGATGTGGATTTAAAGATACCGAAGTCCTCGCCGCTTATGTATACACAGCTCCCTTTCTACTTAGCTGGTCTCAGCGATACAGAGAGTATAAAAACTCTGATAATGTCAGTGAGAGAGTTGTGTTTGAAATTTGAAGCACTGGGACTGTCTAATTTCCCGTCTGGTATTCCTTTCCTATTTTGGGAGCAGTATTTGTATTTGAGGACATCGCTGCTCCTGGCTCTCGCTTGTGCTTTAGCTGCCGTATTCGTGGTGAGTGGCTATTTATATTTATGTTATTTTAGCTAAACGTTTTATTTTTTTAACTGTTTGCTTGTCTTTTCTATGGCAATGTTTATGACAATTCAGTATAAATAATACAATAAGGTCATATGTAGAAAATGTATTGGCATTTGAAATATTTTCTCGCGGAATAATAAGTTCTACAAATTTTCTGGTTTCACATCTAAGAAAATACAAAAAAAAAACGTGTAGTTGTGTTGCAACTTTTTTCTTAATTCTATATAACATTAAAAAGGTCCCATGTATAAATTTTTGTCTATTATGTCTACAAACTTATTTAGTAATAAAATTTAACATTATCTTTGGTACAGGCTGTTATGATCCTGCTATTAAACGCGTGGGCAGCATTGCTGGTGACGTTGTCGCTAGCGATGTTAGTACTGCAGCTGCTCGGTACGATGGCTCTGCTCGACGTCAAGCTGTCAGCCGTCCCTGCTGTGCTGCTGGTGCTCGCTATCGGACGAGGAGTGCACTTCACTGTACATTTATGTTTGGTAAGTAATTGTTTGATTTTCAGTTGGATACAAATAGTTCCGAATTCGTTTCGAATAGTTTCGAATTTTATTTCGAAAAAAAACTAACTTTTGTACAGACAAGGACAATTTAAGGAGATTTTGAATAAGCAAAGTCATCGCGCAATGCGCACACAAAATATAAATGAAACGATATCCTCTTCCTTTTGTAAGCCGTTTTTCATTTCCTCTTCCTTACAGGCATTTGTTACGTCAGTCGGTTGCAAGCGTCGCCGCGCATCCCTCGCTGTCGAGTCAGTCCTGGCGCCCGTCGTCCACGGAGCGTTAGCCGCAGCGCTCGCCGCCTCAATGCTGGCTACCAGTGAATTCGGCTTCGTCGCTCGACTATTCCTGAGATTGCTACTAGCGCTAGTACTGTTGGGCCTCGTCGATGGCCTCCTGTTCTTCCCTATTATGCTATCCATATTTGGACCATCCGCTGAGGTTTGTAATATTTTAAATCAACTTTTCTAATGTATTGTATTATGAAAAATACTTTTTTTTATCTAGAATATATATATATATATATATATATATATATATATATATATATATATATATATATATATATATAAATTATTAAAAAGTATTGGTATAATTATTGTTCATTTTCTTGGAATACATAATGACCTTTATGCTTATCCGTATTATAAATTTTTTTTTTCTTAGGTTCGTCCCTTAGAACATCCCGAGCGCTTATCAACACCATCCCCGAAGAGTTCGCCGGTTCACCCACGAAAGTCGAGTTCGAGCACAAGTGGCGGAGACAAATCAAGTCGCACCAACAAGTCCGCTCCACGACCCAGCGCTCCTTCGCTCACCACCATCACAGAAGAGCCACCGAGCTGGCACAGCTCGGCTCCTTCTGTACAATCTTCTATGCAGTCAATAGTGGTGCAACCAGAGGTTGTCGTAGAAACAACCACGTACAACGGCAGCGATTCTAATTCTGGGAGGTCGACTCCTACGACGAAGACGTCGTCACACCCTGGTGCTATCACTACAAAGGTGAGATTCAGAGATCATGGTACCAAATAATTGTCCTTACTAATTAGTACTATATTTACAAACAATCAAATAAGCCCGCGACTTTGTGTCTTTTGTAAAGTTATCTCAAGGGTAGAGATGATTCATATGGGTATTGATAATTCGCTGTTCTTTTTTTTTTATTGCCAAACAAAAAAAATATTTTTAAAGCACTAATTCAATATTATTTCTGTCAAATCTCAATATTGTAAATTCAAAAGTGTTAATAATTATAATATCTTTTTAGGTAACCGCTACGGCAAATATAAAAGTGGAAGTGGTCACACCGAGCGACAGAAAATCTCGGCGCTCCTATTACTACTACGACCGCCGCAGGGACCGCGATGATGACAGAGAGAGAGACCGCGATCGAGACCGGGACCGGGACCGAGATCGTGAACGAGACCGAGATCGTGAACGAGACCGGGATCGCGATAGAGACAGAGATAGGGAGAGATCAAGAGAGCGCGACCGCAGGGACCGGTTTAGAGACGAGAGAGAACATCGCGCGTCTCCGAGAGAAAATGGACGCGATTCTGGGCACGAGAGCGATTCCTCCCGACATTGACGTATAACAGTGTCATATATATAGACTTTCATAAGACAACTATATTGTTGACACGTTACTGTATATTATCGTGCAGTACTTATATAATTACATATCATATAATGTTACGCTTGTATGAAACAAATGACATCTTTACCTACAGTTATAAGAGTGTCGTAGCTCTGAATTGGGAACGTAAAACATGTTTTAAGGATCGCAATACCATTAATGTTCAATGCCTTAAGACAGTATTACGGTATAATTTTAAGTTTAATCTGCAGTTAATTACGATAATATTGGAGGCTAAATAGATTCAGTACATAATAGAAGTGCTAGTATAATTCTCGACCTAATTATGTATTATTTTTTATACAGGATGGTACTGAAATCATTCCATAGAGCGTGGCACTAGCATTTCTATGTTGTTTCAGTATGTTAAATAAAAGAGACGTTGCAGCGTGTAAGTATATCTCGCGAGTTCTAACTGTATTTACTGTATAGACCAAATATCATTTTAAGAACTTGAATAATTATGTATTTTATTTTGTGTGTTCCTATTTGAAAGACATTTTCCACTTGTCTCCGAGTTCGCCTTGTTACATTTTATTTCACTAAAGACTGTGGTCAAATTTTATTAATAATTTATCATATTATTTATTTTATATCTATAATTTTATTATTGTGACACCAGAGAGGTCTGTGGGATATCTCAGAGTTATTGTACAAATTATTTAGGTAGGTGTAATATTAGTTAAGGCATCTATTTATGAGATTACATAGATTTGTATACCTTTACTGTATTGTTGTGATCTTTAGGTAAACGTTAAGACTGCATTTAACGATCAAACCACAGTATTCTGTGGCCGGGAATCTATAACAATGCGGTGTACAAAGATCATGTGTGTACTGAAAGATTTACTGACCTCAGTAGATAAAAATAACGAGTAACGTTGTGACGTTTTGTGCAAAGTACTTATTAGATTGTATTAATTTATACGTAGGTACCTATGTATGTAACTTAATGATATTTTGTAAATATAGCGTTATTGTTAGTATGACCGTACTGGTACGAGTACGAAGTGCCTGCCTCGGAGCAATGGCAGTTTAATACTTTTGTATCGTTTATTTTTATACAATTTTAACTGACATATTGTCGAAAAACTAGGCGATAATAGCATTTATAGATTTCTATGAAATAATGAAATGAAATTAACATATTTATCAGAATGTCCACCAAATTAGTACAAATAGCGTAACTGAATGACTTTGATTAAATATAACTGTGTAACTATTATTAAACTGAAATACGCTTTCTAAATGAACAAGTTAAACTGTCTACCGTATTGAGAAAATAAAACACTATGTATTTTATTTTTTGTTTTATTTTATTGTGAGGTATTAGAAGAATATACTATTTAGTAACTTTGCATCACAATCAGATTTAGTGTAGTAAAAGACTGGTCCGATCAAACTAAAGCATAACAGGGTATCACTTAAACAGCTTTAAAGTACTAAGTACTTGTATTACACGTATCCTTTCATCCTGCATTATTTAAAAACGTATTAACGTTGCAACACCAAATACTTCATATTTATTACCTATAATAGCAGGTTGTTTTAAATATTTACACCATCAATTATTACGAAATTAGATCTACAAGTTAGATCTTTCCATATTTTTGTCATATATCATATTTTCATAGCTGAACGCGCTGTGTCAACATGATAAATACAATATTTATTATTATTTTTTGTTTCATACTTCGTTGGTAGAATTTTACTATTTAAGATAATAAAATAAATTCTATCGTAACAGATTTTAATATAACATCGAGAAAGCTCTACTAGTTTCGGGACTATTCGAGAACCTTAACCGTAAGCGGCAGTGACGCGAGCATGACCTTCGCATCTCGGCCCAGTGGGCGTGAGCTGTAGGCGTTCACGGCACCCTCACAGATAAAAAAGATGAATATAAAACGGGTCGTATAGGTAACTTTGTCACACCCATTTGTTTTTCAAGTTTTATAACAGACACCTCGACGATGTCTCATTTCAGTGATATTCTACAAGGAACTTAACGGTAGAGGGATAGGTAGCAGCGTTCCTATTAATACAACTCTAAAAGCCTAACTGCGGTTGCTAACCCGCCTGCCAAGCGAAACTCGCAAAAATCTTCTTATGGGGAAAACCTATGTTCAGCAGTGGACAGTTAACGACTGAAATGAGTGGAATAACAAGTGCAAGCCCTGCCTTTTGTTTTAACTTCGGTAAATATTTCAATCGTGTTTTCAACAACGAGTCCCAAGAAAAGCCGGCATCCCCAACATAAAGCAGGAAACCATTTATACAATAATTTTTTGGATGATCAATTTTTCAAAAGACTCGAAATTCACCGAAATTCAAAAGAAAAAAGTTCGTAATTGTACAGATGCTCTATGTATATACATATATCTCTATGTCATAAGTATATGTTGCTGTAATATGCAATAAGTTCTTTATTTATTTTTTATTCATTTATTTATTTTAGAAAACTTGGGTTTATTTTTGTATGTGTACTTAAAAACTATGTTAATACTTAATTACCAATAAAAATCTAGTTCTCTCGACAAGCATTCTCACGAGAGAACTATCTAATTTATTTACAAACACGTTCAGAATACCGTTGCCTTTCCTGCGTATTCTATGTAAAACCGAAGCTTTTTTACGCCAGACTGCGTCAAAACCGTACGAGCTTCAACAGACATCGCTGAGGCGCTACAGAAGCGCGGGAGCCGCAACAGCATCCTAAAATTGTTATTAAATTGGATACGCAAGGCGTTGTAGGAACTCGGGTATACTGGAACCACAGACTTGCCAAATACAACTATGTACAATACGCTTTAAATAGTGTCATTTTCATATGTTAGTAATGCTAGTATATATAATATATCCGTATGATTACGAAACCCAAATTCAATTGAGTTTGGGTTTCGTAATCATACAGTATTAGTAATGATAGCATATATAATATATCTCAATATAACTCAACTGAGTTTGGGTTTCGTAATCATACAGATCATACACATACATTGTACATGTAATCTGTATGTAAATGTATGTAGATATGTACTACATGAAATCATACACATACCATACATACCATTTATTCCGTTGCAAAACTTACTCAAACTCAGTTCGAGTCACGCTGGTTCATAAAGAAGTAAGTCTCAAGTCAATAAAGCGCTTATAGCAATAGCATAAGAATAAATAATACTAAATGGAATAACATTCAATAGACTTTTCATTGCGAGTACACCGATATCGGTAAAATGTAGCCCACTTCCATTCACTCAAATAGGATTGTCACGAATTTATACTTATTTAATTATATAATATATTAAATAATATTATTTTATTATATTAAAGAAAGCGGAACCGAACTGGTACAGATAAGTATAGAGCAACCAATAGGAGTGACGACGACACGTACAATTTAACAACTTATATACGAGATGGACAAATATCAATAATATACATAAAAAATATCTAGCAAGGTCTAAGGAATTTTAGGGGAAACTGGATAACCATGAGTAAGTTCTATTATATTACAATCATCATCAGACTAACTGTCCGCTGTTGAACATGGGAGACTCATCTTATCTGAGAAAGTCTTGCCAGTAGTTGCCGTGCTTGGTAGGTGGGTTGGCAACCGCAGTTTTTTTTAATGGGTGATAATGGAATGGTAACCCCACCTGCGCTGTCGGGATACGCTGACAAGGCACCAGTGAGGGATGACAGATGAGGATGAAAAGGTAGGTCAGTTAGCCCATCGTGACGAATTCCACTAGAATTAATCACGACGGTTTCAGGGAGAACAGCGTGGAGGTCGACCTGATAGGATGTATTGCTAGCAATAGGTCAATTAGACCCCTTTACTAATAATTTCTTTCCCCCCTGACAACCGCAGGTAGGCTTTTGTGTGACGTTTTAAAGGAACGTTGATGCCCATCGCTCCACCATAAGCTCCCTTAGTCACTTGTTTACGATACCCATGGGAAAAGAAAGGGTTGTCTATTATATGCCGGGACCACATGGCCAATTACAATAGTTATCAATAATTAAATTAATAAAGAGTATATATAGAGTAATTTATACTCGTATTAAAACAAGTCAAAGAGTAACTGAAGTTACATTATTAGTATTAAAACATTTAATTTAATGTTGTTAATATAATCAACGTCTATATTATATATATGTTAAACAAAAAAATGCATCTTGTGGTTTACTATTAAACAAGCTCTTTGAGTGGCGCATGACGCGCTGATTAAAGGAACTTAATTCTTACTTAGAGCTCGAGCGTCGAATGCGGTATTATTATTAAATTGACATGAGTGGCACTTCTACATACTCCTTATTCTTATGGACCTTCACCGTGTGGTCCCGGCATAGAATAAGCTTTCCTTTTTGCTCGTGGGTATCGTAAGAGACCATTATGGGAGGGCGAAGGATAGGCAACAGCATCCCTCTTAAAACATCTCCTAAGCCTAACTGCAGTGGCTAATCATAAGAGTGGTAACTACTGGCAAAACTCCTATAAGAGGAAGCTTATGTCTAACAGTGGACAGTTAAAGGCTGATTGATTTTTCTTCTCTGATGACCTTTGTCGTAAGTACAGAAATAATTCTATTAATATTCCTTCAGTGTCCGTTAAACTGAAAACAAAGTGTGACTATCTATGTACGCGATGTAATTCTTGATGGGTTCACACGATTTTGACATGTGGGAAGTCAAATTAAAACCAAGCCAGCTGTTAGCTTGTCATCAGAAATTCCAGCACGTATTACTTTACTTGAGTAGCTTTCGGTAATTTCAGTAGTCTCTATAAGAGTTTAATATTGGGAATTCTGCCGATGATGGCTCAATTTGAAATCAGCCATTTTTTTAGTCATACTTAAAATGGTAAAAAAATTGACGGTGCTTCCAGTTGAAGGCAGAAACCGCCACCTGTAAATATTAATAGTAAAGGGAAAGGGATTGTTAACAATGGATTTTGATAGCCCCATTGCTAGCAATATGCCCTATTAGGTCGACCTCCACGTGGTTCCCCCTGGAAACCATCGTGAACAATTCTTGTTGAATTCGTCGCGATGGGCTAACTGACCTGCTTCATCCTCACCTATCATTCTTCACTGGTGCCCCGCCGGTGTAGACCGATAGCGCGGTTGAGTTTACCATTCCATTATCACCCATAAAAAAAAATATTAATAGTAAAGCATACTGTTCTTACTGTAACTTAACCTTTACAAACTTGATTTTCATTAGTCATTTATCTAGAGTTAATCTTGTGGGACCTATAACAAGAAGGATACCATCATCATCATGTAAAGCGGGCATTTTAACCTTCCTGAGAGGAATTGTAAAGCACCTATTAACCCGTAACCTCTTATGCATATTTCAGGATTGATTGATTGAATTGCGGTTTGAAGTTGGTCCTCTTCAGTGAACCTAAAGTTGAAATTTGTGCGTAATAATCAAAGTTCGGTTTGGAAAGCACGGATGAAGTTTCACATTGCGCATCTAATTTGGACGCACGTACAAATACGGGTACATGAATATACAAAATAAAGGAAGAGATCGACTCGACCATTCATTTTTAAACACTACATATGTTTAGTGTCTAATTTAATCTTTAGTCGTCTACTTGTGGGTATAATTAAATAATCATATAGTATAATTATATTTAATATATCGTATAATTTAATAATATGCCTACTTAATTCATGGAATAAGGATTTCACAAATCATACACTCCTCGCAAAAATTAAGGGAACATAAAAATTTTTGAAATTTTTGGGTGATTTTCAACAGGCTGTATTTCAGTGAAAAATAATCGTACAGGAAATTTAAAAAAAGGGTTTTGAAGCTTGAAAACTCTAGTTTTCAGATTTTTTGGTGAAAAAATTTTTTGAACTCCGGTTTCCATGCAATTCTTAAACAAAGCTGAAAATAATTTTTTTCTAAATGTTCTAGGTTTCGTTTTTCACTTTATGGGCATAGAAAAATTTTTTCGAGCTACTCCATTGTATAGGTCTCTTAGCGTGTTTATTCAGCTTCAAAAATCGCTTTGGATGGCTCAATTACGACCATTTGTCTCCGAGATATCAAACTTTGAATGCAAAAGCATCCTTTTCCATTCAACTGCTAATATCTCTGGAACTACTGGTCGCACAGCAAGCGGGCGCCGAGTTTCTTTATTTGCATAAAATTTTCTTGATTTTTTTCGATTTTTTTTTGATAATGAATTTTTAAAAAACAAAAAATTGAGTAAAAAGTGAAAAACAAATGAAATTATTGATTTTTGAATGGATTAGGGTGAGTTTAAGGGACAAAAACCTTGTTCCCTTATTTTTTCCAAAATTTCAATCAATTGGTCCGGGAAAAACCGTTGAACCGATCGCTCCAGGGATTTAGGGGGTTCTTAAAGGAACAATAGACTGTAAAATTTTCCTCAAACTTTAGCTTTCCCGCCCATATTAGCGAAGATACAGCCAAGTAACCAAAAAAGGAGAAATAGTCACTTTTTTCCACTTTTTTCGATTCAATGTTAGAGGTGGAAAAAAATTTTTTCTTCACTAACTCTTGACTGTGCTTAATTGTAAATTTTATGCAGATAAAGAAACTCGGCGCCCGCTTGCTGTGCGACCAGTAGTTCCAGAGATATTAGCAGTTGAATGGAAAAGGATGCTTTTGCATTCAAAGTTCGATATCTCGGAGACAAATGGTCGTAATTGAGCCATCCAAAGCGATTTTTGAAGCTGAATAAACACGCTAAGAGACCTATACAATGGAGTAGCTCGAAAAAATTTTTCCATGCCCATAGAGTGAAAAACGAAACCTAGAAAATTTAGAAAAAAATTATTTTCAGCTTTGTTTAAGAATTGCATAGAAACCGGAGCTCAAAAAATTTTTTCACCAAAAAATCTGAAAACTAGAATTTTCAAGCTTCAAAACCCTTTTTTTAAATTTCCTGTACGATTATTTTTTACTGAAATACAGCCTGTTGAAAATCACCCAAAAATTTCAAAAAATTTTATGTTCCCTTAATTTTTGCGAGGAGTGTATATTACTATGCTAATATTTCATTATTCATTCATTATATAAGATACCAATTAACAAAAATCGTTCAATTAACATGGCTATGAAATTATAAATTCTTCCCTAACAAGTTATTAAAACTTTACTTAATGCCCATCGTATTATTTATTACTCAAGGCAAGTCATTATATTTTCAGAAATGTATAAACAATTTTAAATTTGTTTGTAATCCTTGATTACCTCGTCAGGTATTATAATGAAAGCAATCCGCCTAGCGTAGCGTGATCCGCTTAGTCAAAATTATAAAATGGGTGGAATTTCAAAGGCAGCAACGCCTGCGACATTCCTTAGAAAGCGGGAGCGCGGGAATCAATAAAGGATTTCCTGGCGGCGTGCCCACGCATGTGCGTGGCAGCGGGCATCGGACCTGTCGCCTTCGACCATCGGATCTCCTGATCTGTCTCCATTCTGATTAGAACTAATCCCCGCATGCATGCCCAGCCGTGAAAACCTCAAACAGGACCAGCATGCTGCACGACTGGCTTACGGTGGGCCACGTCCGAAACGGCATACGACTGCTGATACCGGATGTTTTTATAGCTTCCGCTGGTGAGTTCGGATCGGTGGCTGGCCATCAACCCTATGTATGAACAAATAAATCTCAGTAATAAGTAGAGAGCCCGCTGCGTGATTGGGCGTATGATTCGCGCGCAGCGTCACTGCGGCTGTAGGGGTGAGGGTGCGGCGGTGCGGGACGTCGAGCGACCGCGGCGGCGCGTCACAGAGCTACCCGCTCGACACGTTCTGTCCTCGCCCTGCGGCCCGCCCGCTCCGACACCGGCCCGGTCCATAACCTGACACTACACAATCACTCGATGACTCATGTACAAATTTACGCCCTTTGGTGACATTGTCAGGGTAGTGTAGTGCGAACGGTGGTGTTACTCGATGTAGGAGCGAGTGAGTGCTGTGCTTGTTCGTGTGCTCTTGTCATGTGGGGAGTACGATGGTGTTGATAGCCAGCATGTCGCCGCGGTGCTCGCCGCTGGGCTTGCTCCTGGCGCTGCTAGCGGCTGCCGCGCTCGCCAACCAACTAGAGGATATACCGCACAATGAGTAAGCTATTATTTTCACTATAAGTTATGAATTCTTAATAATGTTCAACCAACATTAGATTCCACTGCAGTTTTGTGGTCCTTTAAAATAAAAAAATAACAAATATTGTTTAGCTAAACCGTGTACACTATTAAAGTTAGAAAAAAGTAAAATTTTTTGTCATGTCGCATAACTGAATCGATTTTTATGTGCACTAATACAAACTAATGGCGATTGCCATTACAATGACACAGGCATTGACACTTAGGCTTTTTAATTATATTAATAACTAACGACAGGTAAACATGTATTTAATTAGGCGTGATAAACATAAACAAGCATCTCACTCGAGAATTTATGGTCATACCAAAGTTTGAACGGTAGAGAATGCTACTTACTAGATAGGGTCAAGTCCGAGGTCCCATAATATACTTTAGCTTCTAAATAAAAAATAAAAAAGAGTTTCAAAAACATACAGAACAATGTTTATTATCACGAATTTTAGAACATTAGATGTATATTTTTCATATTATTCATACATGCATCTATGCATCCATATTTTTCTTATTCCTTATTATAATCATAGCTTTAGAAAAATAAATGGTCTTTTAGGCTGGACCTTATTAATACAGATACTTGTGAAATATTAAGAATAGTGCTCAATTCGATTATGGACTTACATAATAATGCTTATTGCAGTAATATTAGACACAATAATACAGTTGCGTCTATTCATACTGTATTTCAATGTGAATTCTAAGAGTAAAAAAGTTGAGTGTTCATTGATACAAGAGGTAGTAGATAAGTATTAATGTTTATAATTATATTTGTTAGGTACTTAATGATGCCAAGTACTTAATTATTATTTAATGATAATGCCATTGACAGGGAGTTCACCTCCATGCCTTAGAGCCTGGATGGTCATGTTTTCAGAGATGTTTCCTCGCACGAATGTTCAGGTTACGGATGAGTACCTGTAGAGTGTGTGTTTTTCCACGAGACTACAGCATGGGGTTCTTCAAATAAGGGGTAAAGAAGTTTCTTTAGGGTCAGCAACGCGCATGTAATGCTTGGTATTGCAGGCGTTCATAGGTTACGATAACCGTCTACCATCAGGTGGGCCGTATGCTTGTTTGCCACCTCAGTGGTATAAAAAAATAAAATTATGCACTACCCAGAAACAAATTAAAAATTTTAAAGTAAAAAAGTAAAGTCGTGACTTGATATCATCATCATTAATCACATCAGCCTTAACTGTCCACTGCTGAAAATAAGCCTCCCCCTTGGAGGGCTTTGCCAGTAGTTGCCACGCTTGGCAGACGGATTGGCAACCGCAGTTAGGCTTTGGAAATGTTTTAAGAGGGGAGGCTACTGCCCATCTCTTGCCTTCACTTAGCCGCCTCTAACGACACACACATACATAGGAAGGGGTGGCCAATTCTATGCCGGGACCATACGGGAAACGGTTGACTAGATATATTATACTTAAATTTTGCTAATTTTGTGAATCCTTTGAATAATATCTTTATTGTAACATAGTTTTTAAGATAGATGGCGTTTCAGAATCGACTTCATTGTATTTTTTACTATCATGTAATTAGCTAATTGCTTTGCGTAATTACGCGCAAAATGTTAGTTGATATGAAACTTAAAGATATAATGAATAATGTTACAATAATTTTATAATAGAATATCACAAACTGGTTTCAAGTCCCGCGGGATTTACCTTGGCTGGTTAAGAGGATCTCGTAATTCTAACGTAAGGTTTCACGGTCGTGAGGACTGTCCCTTAAGACTGCGTAGTCAGGGAGTTATAAGGTCAGAGGCAAATTTATTACTCCCATACGTAAGTAAATAGATACAATTTTGTATCTACTAAGAAAATAATGTTTTATAAGTCTTACGTAGACTCGAAAAACTATTATAAGTAACTGTATATTACATGTAAGTATGTTTTTCATTTAATATGGAGCCTAAAATAGATTGACGGAGTTTAATAAATGAAACGTTTGTATACGCTTTATTATAAAAAAATATACGAATATAAAAAAGTTACAAGAATAAAAATAACAGTAAATGTGTAACCCTAACTCTTCTAATAAGAATTACACATAAAAATTCAAATAATAAACCTACTAGCGTAATCAGCATAGGAGTTATAGGCCCATATCCTTCTCTTGCCCACTACCAGCGTTAGGACGTAATTAATTTATATAAAGTTTACCTAGTAATACTCGTTCTTTTTACATCGTATTCTCTACTACCAAAAAATATTTAATATACTACATTAAAACTATCATTAAAATTATTATTAAAACTTAACAACTTACTTGTAGGTCACAAGAAAAATATGAATAGTTTAAAAATGCAGCAACCTATTAAATGTTTATATTTCAATAATGGAACTAATTAAATCATTTGTCCTACATTTCAATAGTCTACAATTAATCACCAATTGTATAAATATCCCAGCAATTTTATGTGAACCATGATTTTAATTAGTTTAATGTTACCCACTGTGCGCTGTAAACTTTATTACCTAACACGCAGTTTCTCTCATTGTCAGACAGATTACGGCTTCTCGTTCATTGTAGCGCACTGCATTTGCCACCTTACTATAACAACCTATTACCACTGCTGAGCACGAAGGATTCTTCTACCTTACTATCGCAATCTTGGCCAAGCTGTTTGGTATAATTATTTATTTTCAGTTTTTATTCTGTTCTATTCAGCTGAGTGTCTTGAACTAGAATATTGTTTTCCCTCATAGTCGTCCCTAACAACATCTTAAAGTTCGATGTCTCTCGTCTTATTTCATTTTATTTATTTATATTTACGCCACTTTCTTACTGTGGTCGTCTATTGGAAAGAAAGAAAGTATTAAAGACTTCTTACATATGTTTCTTGTCTCATCTACGAGTACTTAGGTACTTTTATAACTCTACTCATTCACATACGTCAGTTGCTAAGACTCTTGACACTTCCTTCGTATAGACTACAATCTATAAAATCATCGACTATTAATCACACACTCCCATAACTGTAATAAAAAATGTTAGGAGGACCGTAAGGTATTAATCCAGTATTAATCTGGTGGTGCCCAATCGTCTTTCCTAGGATACATCTCCATGACGGATTTTCCCACGTAAAAAAAAACCTTTCCAGTTTTTGCAACCATCCACTTTCCCATTGTAAATGTACTTGTTCCATGAAACTTTCATCCATAATTCTTTCCACAAATCTGAAACCACGTCCTTTTATTTTTATATCCACTCTTGTAATTATCATGAAATCATCATTTCCATTACAGATTTAACAAAACATATAAATTTAAGTGGCTGTTATATAGAAGTAGGCTTAGAGTCATATTACTTTATAGCGAATAAAGTAGCACGCGGATTTATTCTCAATTAATTATTTTCAAAGCTTTTGAACTCGCTTTAGAGGCGGAAACGTAGCCCGGAAGGCATACATTTTTAATGTACAGGTCTAAATGTAGATTTATTCCACCAGAAATATACGAGCAACGTATAAATACAGTCCAACTTCTCATTACGACTGTCTGTGTTATTAACTTAAAAACAAATGCTTACCTACATTTGTAAAATATATGTTATTATGTATAATATATTTACAGACAAATTTCATTTAAAAGCAATTTGTTATAACTTGTTACTAGATTAACGAAAAAGTAAAGTGTTTCGGGTTCATGTAAGTAAGTATATCGTATATATTTCTGTTGTAACATATCACTTAAACAGCTTGATGGATATTACGAGTAATAAATGGAATCATTGAATTAGTTTCAATGAGAAGTGGGAGTGCTTTGAGCTACATGATGATGACATTATAAAATAAATATGGCGACCATAAATTGTCAAAAACTTATTTTACAGTGGTGTTTTGTGTGATTTCGTCTTGTATACTAATTTTAAATATTTTATATTATTATGTTTATAATACTCGTAGTATGCGTAGTAAAAGGTTTTATTCTACTGTCTGTAGTGTAAGAGAAATAAATCGTAGAACTATGCGGATATAATCTAATTTTCTAGGTCCATCTAGTTATTTTGTAACCACCAATAGAACGGTAAACAAATCAATTATAATAAATAATACTGACAGTCAATTAACCAAACAACTTCAGGAAGTGGTATATTTAGTAATTAATACAACATAGGATAATTGTCATCGGCGTCATTTTCTTTACACTTTTTCATCTATTATCTATTTAGATTTGGTGTATTTTTTTATTTTATTTTATTCATCTCCATTCAGAGGTATTCCAGTACACATTGCCTTTCTAGTCAGGTTATTTTAATATGACATAAAATATTAATATTAGAATTCATTGTTATAAAAAGAAAACGTAAACTTACGTCCATTATTACTTAATTTCAAAAATTGATTTTTAAGGATAACTAAAAATAATAAAAAAATAACAATTCTCCCTTGACAAAAGGGACTGACATGGCATTTATGTACGCTGTATCAGGCGTGTGTAAGTACATTTTCGCGTACGGGGCTGGTTTTCGGTCCCTTTAGCGTAATTACTAATTCAGGTGAATTCATTAATTCGATTGCAACATAAGGTTGTCTGTACAATGAATATTGGACTAATAACAAATACATAATGTGACAAAAAATCTATTACTAGAAATGACTTAAACGCAGAATTCATTTCAAAATTCTATCTACGTAATTAATATCTTGTTTAATTTTCATTATATAAGTAACTAATAGACGAATGAATCTAAAGAAAAATATTGGCACAAAGTTATTTAAAAATTATAGTTATTTTTTTCATGTTGTATAAAAATAGACAACGAGAAATCAAAACATATTAAATAATTGAATGCTTGCGTTTACATCTGATAACCTGTTTGGAATAACAAATTTTATACTTATATACCTAGCACATGTATATTTTTTATTATCAATATCAGTGACTTAGGTTTTTGTTTCATTCTAAGTACAAGAATTTGCAAGCGTTCGCAAAACCAAGTAGATTATTGACAAGC